TTTTAATCGATAAAAATAGTCGAAATTTTTTTACGTTTAATAGCCGGCTGTTTTGGGTGTTAATAGCCGACTGTTCTTAGGCTGTTCCGCCTTTTTTTAAAAAAATTATGTTACCTAGTCGAGTCGAATAACTATGTATTTTCTTAAAAAAATCTGTTTCGTCTTGTAGATATGATTATAATGCCAATTTGTTTCTTTGCTAACTTCGAATCAGATGAGAAAGATCAATGTATAAGGAGATGAACAAGTGATAAACATGATGGTATTCCAATCTTCATAACGGAGAGTACAACATATGGAGGAATGTACCACGATTTACAAAACAAGCTGAATGTCGATCCCTCTTAGTACGATATGGAATTGAGATTTCGGTTCAAAGATGATTCATCTATTCTGATTCCATCGATGGAGGTTACTTGTGATGAAAAAGTGAATTATTTATTTGAATTGAACAAAATGTACATGACTCCTCTTTGTGTACTTTAGTGAGGAAGGATGTCATCCAAGGTGGACACGAAGACTTGGTTAGAGAGGATCATAATGCCATGATTTTTGGGACACTGTGGAGATAGCTCGTGAAGATGATGTGGTTATTCTTGAGCCAGTTGTTCCTCATCGTGATCTTACTGTTACTTACAGAATTCCGTAGGTAGTTCACGACAACGAGAACGATAATGAATTTACAAATAAGGATTTGATTATTTTATCCCGTCAGAGACATGAGTGGGGTGGGAGCACAGGGGCTGTAACGAGTGGACCGTCATCTAATTCTATTCGCGTGGTTCCGGATTATGAGGATTTATATGTCGAGCAACTGTTCGAAACAAAGAAAGATTTGCAGGAAGCTGCACATCGAATTGCATTGAAATACAACTTTGAGTTCAAAGTTAAGAAATCAAACAAGTCATTGTTGACGATTGTTTGCGTCGATGATAGTTGCCGTTGGCGTTTGCGAACGAAGAAAATGGACACGAATGAGTTCTTTGTCATTCGTAAGTATAATCGGGAACATACTTTCGCAATGGGAATTCGTTAACATGATTATAGGCAAGATCGAACATGATTTATTGGTCGACAGATAATGCACAAGTATCAGGACCCACAGACGATCTACAGACCTTCAGAAATCATTAACGACGTTCGTCGAGAGTATGGAGTGGTCATGAGCTACCGAAGGCCTGAAAGGCCAAATAATGTGCATGAAGGATTAAATGGTCTCGGCCAAAGAGAGCTATGCTAAATTGGTGAGGTATTGCAATAACATGGGAACAACTAATCATGGCTCGGCCTTTTTTATTGAGACGGAGGGCAAAAATTGCTTTAAGTTTTTCTTCATGATTTTTGGACAATGCACTCGAAGATTTCGAAATGCGATGTGAACCCTAATTCTAGTCGATGATACAACTTTGAAAGTTAGATATGAAGACAAGTTAATTATTACTACATGTCAAGATGTCAACATCTAAATTTACCCTC